TTATTAGGGAACGGACCAAGCCTTCGATTTTAAAATATATGAGGTTTAATATAAACACAGATAGGTCGAACTATTTTAGAGCACTAGTGATGCTGTTTTATCCGTGGAGAGATTAAGAGGCAGAGTTAGTGAGCATGAATTGTGAGGATGTTTATAGGGATCATCAGGAATTAGTTAGTTCGAATTTCCAAAAATACAATGCATTAGCAGATTTAGAAGACGTGCTTAGGAGGGCCATGGAAGCCGAAGCCAATAGGGTAGAAAATGCAGGTGAGGCAGGTGATGAGGCAATTGATGAGGAATTTAGAGCTTTAGCGATTCCTGAAATAGGTTCTCAAATAAATGTTCTAAACTTGAATGACCAGGCAGCGGATCCAGATAGGAGTATTCGATTAATTAAGCTTCCCACGTTTGTTTCCCTTAATGATTTAGCCAATATGATTAGATCGCTTAATTTAAAGCAAAAAACTTATCTCTCACATGTTCTTCATAATGTGAGAGATAAGGCACTTTTTTATGAGTTTGTAGGTGGCGGCGCAGGCGTCGGCAAGAGTAGAACAATATCTACCATTTTTCAGACCATTTCTCAGGAGCTTAATCGTATACCAGGATCTGACCCAAATACTGTAAAAGTACTTCTGTGTGCTCCCACAGGAAAAGCTGCATTTGGTATTGGAGGTGCCACACTTCACTCAATGTTTTCATTACCCATCAATCAATCCAACCATGATTTTAAACAACTGGGTCCAGATTTATTAAATACTTTGCGTTCAAGATTTATTGATCTTAAACTTCTTATAATTGACGAGATTTCTATGGTCGGTGAAAAAATGTTTTGATATTTGGATAGGCGCCTAAAGCAAATATTTTCAAGGCACGAAAGTTCTTTTGGTGGCATTTCTGTTATCGTGTTCGGCGATCTAAGGCAGTTATGTCCAGTAGGTGATCGTTGGATATTCAAATCCTCATCAAGTGCGCTTAATCCATACAGTGCTATAGTTGGCTCTAGTCTCTGGGATGGCTTCAAGTTTTTCGAACTTACAGAGATTATGCGACAGCGAGATGACCAACCTTTTGCAATCGCACTAAATAACATGGCATCGGCCGAAATGTCGTCTGAAGATATTCAATTGCTTAGGGACAGAATAGTTGACGGCAGTCAAGCTCCAAGAGATGCGATCCACTTATTTTATAGCAATAAAGAGACAGAAAGGTACAATAGGGAGAAGCTATCATCGATTATGACAGCAGAATATACTTCAATAGCTTTAGACTGCATCAAAGCCGAACATCTTACCCCAGATATTAAAACTAGATATCTGGAGGCTGTTAAGAGTTTCAAAACTTCTAATACACAAGGTTTGTGTACTTCATTGGTTCTCAAAACCACGGCTAAATATATGATGACAGTCAATGTAGATACATCAGACGGCCTTGTTAACGGAGCCACTGGTGTTTTAATGCAGATAGATCTTAGCTCATCCAATACACCCGAACTTCTTTGGATACATTTTCTCGAAGAAAGCGTAGGAGTTAACGCACGGTCGAAACGCAGCCATAGTAACGAATCTTCATGGACACCAATTCAGAAAACCACAAAGAGTTTTCAATACCACCAAAACGAACAGGTTACTATAGACCGTAAACAATTTCCGGTTGTAGCTGCAGAAGCTATAACTATTCATAAGAGTCAGGGAGCTACATACAGCAAAGTTGTCGTCCACACTTCCTCCAATATGCAAAGAGAAGCATTGTATGTAGCTTGCAGTAGGGCCACCAGTGCGAATGGACTTTATATCGTTGGGCCTTTCATTCCCCCGAAACCCAAGCAGAACTGTCCTGTCGCGAGAGAGATGGAGAGCTTACGTTCCGCTAAGTTACTTCACACCCACTTCGATTGTTTACTCAATCCGTCCGAATTTAATATTTTCTTCCATAATACGGAAAACTTGCACTGCCATTTTAGCGATGTCTCTTCTGATGAGCTAATGCTCAAATCTTCTATTTTGTGCTTCGTTGAGGCTTCCACTTACTCAAATGAAGCTTATAATATTCCTGGCTATTCCACAGCAGTGCGGTTAGATTGCCAGTCCGTAGCCAGCGGAGCTAGACCGAAAAGAGGCATTCTAATATTTGTTAGGAATGATCTTTTAGATCACTTTAGTTTTGTTGAAAGTAATCGATTTTATGCTGTTTCCGGAAACTTAGCATCTCCGGTGTTCGAATATGCTTTGTTTACGTACAAATCTGTCGGTTTTATTGTTATTTACAGAACCCCCAGTTATCCGTTGCCAAAGTTTAAACACGAATTTAAGCACTTAGTTCAGCGTTTTCCGTTTTTAGGTAGCAATTCTTTAGTGTTAGGTGATTTTAATTTATGCCTGCATTCTCGTTCTGGTTGCTGTAGGGAAATTTATGAATTCCTTTTAGAAAGGAATTTTAGGTCTTTGTTAGGTTTGGACTCGTCCACAACCAATTGCAATACGCATATTGACTGGGCGTTTTCAAACATTTCCGATAGCAGGGCCACCGCGCGCACCTTTGAGACTGTCTATAGTTATCATAGTGGAATTTTAGTTAATGTTAGGGAGGCAGAAGTATAGATTTCTTTTAGCTAGCAGGCATTAGTGTACATATTTTATATTATTTATATTTAAGCGTAATTAGTACTTTAGCTCTGTTTTTTTAATTATTTAATTTGTTTAAGGCTTTTTATTTTAATTAGATTTATTTACGTATATTTATGTATTTATATTTTTAGCGAAGGATTGGAATCCTGTTTTTTAATTTTTTGGGGAATAAGGAGCTTAAAATGCTTTTAAAAGCAGCTCAAGTCGACTCGTAGGTCCCCAAGATTATGTTTTGGCTAGAGTGACCCCATTGCTTCGCGATGGCCTCCCCGTGGTGTTCCCTGGGTACCAATTAACTATATTAAATATATATAAGCTATATATAGCTATATATATTAGCTATATATATTTTATATATTAAATTGGTAGCTGATTCGAGCGGCGCTTACGTATTAAATATATAGTATAGGTTAAACACATAAATTATAAGCTTACATATATACTGACTGAGTACGGGTATAAGTAGAGTCGCGTCCCCAGAAGCGACTCACACGTTCCTTCTCGTTTTATTTTTGATACGATTATATCGGTATGATACTTTTTCGCCGACTATATCAAGAGTCGATATTTTTTGCAAATTTCGACCTAGTGTTCTTTACACTGCGCGCAACAGCTTGCGTTCGAACAAGTTAAAAAACGTGTATACAAAAATGGACAAGCCCTCCTTATCGTGCAAACTTTGCGGTAAAGTTGTGAAGACAATCTGTTAAATATTTTTCCAATATATCGATATATTGATATTCTCAAATTGATAATTTCGATATCGCGATATTTAAATTTACCAAATGCGGTCATATTGATTTGTGAAAACAAAACAAATTGATAAGATATACAAAAATGGTTTGCGAAAAGTGCGAAGCGAAGTTAACGAAAGTGTTGGCCCCAAATCCCTGGAAAACTAGCACCGCTCCAGCCGGTGGACGCAAGATAAATGAAAACAAAGCCCTATCCTCTGCCCGGGACCGATACAATCCCATGGGCACGACCCTGGCACCTTGCCGGTAAAAAACAAACAATACGTTGGATTCCAGTCCTCTGACTGCTGGTCATTTCAGCATTTGCCGACAAAAGGTCCACCAGATGGGAGCCCACTACTGCCAGGCGTGCGCCTACAAAAAGGCCATATGCGCCATGTCGGCAAGAAGATTCTAAACACAAAGAACTACAAGCAGAGCTCAACGTGATGCTGCAGTCCATGGCCACACGGCACCGAGGAGTTTATACTTAAGCATAACCTAGTTATAGACAACAGAATAATTATGTATATCAGATAGTATCAACAAATGCATAAATAAGTACATCAAGCCTCTGTCGTTGGCTTCTCCCGTCGCCGCTTGGCACTTTGGATCTGCGAAGAGTAGCTGAGCGCCTCCTTGTCAAACTCAAGCGGCATAATGCCCAGATCTCCGCTGTAGCGGTTCTTGGCTATCTGCAAATACTTTTTGCCCCGCACCGATGTCAGTCGCTTGTCTTGAATGATGAGCACATTGTCCGCCTCCTGTGTGGCTTTGGCCGTGCCAAAGACGGAGCTCGTGGTGAGGTCATCCTCCTGGCGCTCCTTGCGCGGATGCATGACTAGCGTTACGTGGACATTGTGCTTGGTGGCGAAGCTGCGAAAGGCGGCAATGATGCCACCCTGCTCCCAGAACTTGTCGCCGCGAAACGAGGAGACTCCCATCATGAACTGGAGGTTGTCGATTATAATCGATAATTATCACATGCCCATTGGTATATGTTGTTTGCTACGTGTCCGTGTTCCCAGTATCGATCGCATGACCTAGCGTGACCGCTTGCAGAATTCCAGCCCCAGCTGTTGTATCGATATTTTATCCCACCATTTTCGAATTTACTAACAGCGGTGGCCGGCAAAAATGCAGCGTCACATTAGTAGCCTACGGTAAAAATTTGCACAATCGAAGCTGGCTTTTCATATTCCATATACATATGAATATATATTTATTTATTTTTACATAAACAGTACGGCAGTTGAGTCGGGTTTATTCGTTTTGTGCACATCTTTTCTACACTTTCAAATTTGGAGTTTGGAATACCTGTCCGGTCCAAAAGCTAAGGAGTCCTAGTATCCCCCCAAAAATGGCGAAAGGCGCAGCTTCTGTATGATGTCCTTAAGCGCATTGATCTCGGCCGCATGGGGATCCATATTAATCACCGGCTTGTTTTTGATCTGAAGCGCACGATCCGCATAGCGCAAGGTGCTCAAGGTCTCGGACACATTAAAGTCCGCGGGACTGACGCAGGCGATCATCAATGTGATGGAGTTGCCGCCCAGCGAGTCCTGCAGCAGGCGCGTCAGCTTTGACTGGCGGTACGGTATGTAAGCGCATTGATCTCGGCCGCATCAGGGATCCATAAGCGCACGATCCGCATAGCGCAAGGTGCTCAGGGTCTCGGACACATTATAGTCCGCGGGACTGACGCAGGCGATCATCAATTCGGCCTCACCGAATTGGAGGTCACTTCCGCTCATTTAATGCGTGGCTCTGCCGGTCGGGCTGTAGCAGCCACTGCAATGAACGAGACCTCGTCCCGTTCTCATGCCATTTTCACGCTCACCGTAGTCTCCAGCAAGCTGGAGGGAAGGTAAGTATGAACTGAAATACACACAGATTTATGTGAAAGTTTATTTTTGCATTCAATTACATACCATACAATTACATACGGTTACATACCGTACCGCCAGTCAAAGCTGACGCGCCTGCTGCAGGACTCGCTGGGCGGCAACTCCATCACATTGATGATCGCCTGCGTCAGTCCCGCGGACTTTAATGTGTCCGAGACCTTGAGCACCTTGCGCTATGCGGATCGTGCGCTGCAGATCAAAAACAAGCCGGTGGTTAATATGGATCCCCATGCGGCCGAGATCAATGCGCTTCAGGACATCATACAGAAGCTGCGCGCTGTTCCACCACCACTTGGCAGGGCCATTTCCGCACATCAATTCAGCCCCAAGCTAGACAGGTCAGAAAAACGAAGAAAACGACACAGCACCTGACAAATGTTCACTTTTGAAATAAAACCAATTTCCACTCTATTGTTTCCCTTTTTGCAGAAGGTATGGAATGGAATACAACACGATGTGCTATTTACGTTTATGATTTTAATGACGCAAAATCATAAACGTAAATGGCGCATCGTGTTGGGTCGGGATCCGATGGATGATCCACAGGCGGTTTCCCTTTCTACCTAAAAGAATTTACTAGGCATGCGGAACGTGAGCACAATATCCGAAGCATTGAATGTTAGACAGTTTTTCGCCCCAAATTCTTGTTTTCTTCACTTTACAATACATTAATGTACACATTTTAAATAATAATAATGATAATAATAATATTATAATGTTCCCTGCAATAGGTAGTAAAATGAACATTTAACAACAGTCTACACTAGTAGCGCATTAGTGTACATACAATAGTGTATTTAAAAGTCCACTGGCTTACCGTAGTTGGTCGATTTTTTCCGTCATCGCATTTTTTTGTTGCAATTCGGCAAACAATAAGTTAGGATTGTTGATATTATATCGATATATCGATATAGGTGATATTTTTATTTTTGATACGATTATATCGGTATGATACTTTTTCGCCGACTATATCAAGAGTCGATATTTTTTGCAAATATCGACCTAGTGTTCTTTACACTGCGCGCAACAGCTTCCGTTCGAACAAGTTAAAAAACGTGTATACAAAAATGGACAAGCCCTCCTTATCGTGCAAACTTTGCGGTAAAGTTGTGAAGACAATCTGTTAAATATTTTTCCAATATATCGATATATTGATATTCTCAAATTGATAATTTCGATATGGCGATATTTAAATTTACCAAATGCGGTCATATTGATTTGTGAAAACAAAACAAATTGATAAGATATACAAAAATGGTTTGCGAAAAGTGCGAAGCGAAGTTAACGAAAGTGTCGGCCCCAAATTCCTGGAAAACTAGCACCGCTCCAGCCGGTGGACGCAAGATAAATGAAAACAAAGCCCTATCCTCTGCCCGGGACCGATACAATCCCATGGGCACGACCCTGGCACCTTGCCGGTAAAAAACAAACAATACGTTGGATTCCAGTCCTCTGACTGCTGGTCATTTCAGCATTTGCCGACAAAATGTCCACCAGATGGGAGCCCACTACTGCCAGTCGTGCGCCTACAAAAAGGCCATATGCGCCATGTGCGGCAAGAAGATTCTAAACACAAAGAACTACAAGCAGAGCTCAACGTGATGCTGCAGTCCATGGCCACACGGCACCGAGGAGTTTATACTTAAGCATAACCTAGTTATAGACAACAGAATAATTATGTATATCAGATAGTATCAACAAATGCATAAATAAGTACATCAAGCCTCTGTCGTTGGCTTCTCCCGTCGCCGCTTGGCACTTTGTCAAACTCAAGCGGCATAATGCCCAGATCTCCGCTGTAGCGGTTCTTGGCTATCTGCAAATACTTTTTGCCCCGCACCGATGTCAGTCGCTTGTCTTGAATGATGAGCACATTGTCCGCCTCCTGTGTGGCTTTGGCCGTGCCAAAGACGGAGCTCGTGGTGAGGTCATCCTCCTGGCGCTCCTTGCGCGGATGCATGACTAGCGTTACGTGGACATTGTGCTTGGTGGCGAAGCTGCGAAAGGCGGCAATGATGCCATCCTGCTCCCAGAACTTGTCGCCGCGAAACGAGGAGACTCCCATCATGAACTGGAGGTTGTCGATTATAATCGATAATTATCACATGCCCATTGGTATATGTTGTTTGCTACGTGTCCGTGTTCCCAGTATCGATCGCATGACCTAGCGTGACCGCTTGCAGAATTCCAGCCCCAGCTGTTGTATCGATATTTTATCCCACCATTTTCGAATTTACTAACAGCGGTGGCCGGCAAAATGCAGCGTCACATTAGTAGCCTACGGTAAAAATTTGCACAATCGAAGCTGGCTTTTCATATTCCATATACATATGAATATATATTTATTTATTTTTACATAAAAAGTACGGCAGTTGAGTCGGGTTTATTCGTTTTGTGCACATCTTTTCTACACTTTCAAATTTGGAGTTTGGAATACCTGTCCGGTCCAAAAGCTAAGGAGTCCTAGTATCCCCAAAAATGGCGAAAGGCGCAGCTTCTGTATGATGTCCTTAAGCGCATTGATCTCGGCCGCATGGGGATCCATATTAATCACCGGCTTGTTTTTGATCTGAAGTGCACGATCCGCATAGCGCAAGGTGCTCAGGGTCTCGGACACATTAAAGTCCGCGGGACTGACGCAGGCGATCATCAATGTGATGGAGTTGCCGCCCAGCGAGTCCTGCAGCAGGCGCGTCAGCTTTGACTGGCGGTACGGTATGTAAGCGCATTGATCTCGGCCGCATCAGGGATCCATATTAACCACCGGCTTGTTTTTGATCTGAAGCGCACGATCCGCATAGCGCAAGGTGCTCAGGGTCTCGGACACATTATAGTCCGCGGGACTGACGCAGGCGATCATCAATTCGGCCTCACCGAATTGGAGGTCACTTCCGCTCATTTAATGCGCTCATGCCATTTTCACGCTCACCGTAGTCTCCAGCAAGCTGGAGGGAAGGTAAGTATGAACTGAAATACACACAGATTTATGTGAAAGTTTATTTTTGCATTCAATTCATCCATTGTGATCTTCAGGAAGGTGGTGACCACCTCCAAGATCAATCTGGTGGATCTGGCTGGCTCTGAACGCTGCTCCAACACACTGGCCATCGGCGACCGCTTCAAGGAGGGGGTCAACATCAATAAAGGCCTGCTGGCCCTCGGCAACGTGATCAACGCATTGGGCTGTAGGTCCTCCTGCACATCCATAGCAAAATCCTTTCTCATTTTGTGTCCATTTTACAGCCGGACAAACTGCCGGTTACATACCGTACCGCCAGTCAAAGCTGACGCGCCTGCTGCAGGACTCGCTGGGCGGCAACTCCATCACATTGATGATCGCCTGCGTCAGTCCCGCGGACTTTAATGTGTCCGAGACCTTGAGCACCTTGCGCTATGCGGATCGTGCGCTGCAGATCAAAAACAAGCCGGTGGTTAATATGGATCCCCATGCGGCCGAGATCAATGCGCTTCAGGACATCATACAGAAGCTGCGCGCTGTTCCACCACCACTTGGCAGGGCCATTTCCGCACATCAATTCAGCCCCAAGCTAGACAGGTCAGAAAAACGAAGAAAACGACACAGCACCTGACAAATGTTCACTTTTGAAATAAAACCAATTTCCACTCTATTATTTCCCTTTTTTGCAGAAGGTATGGAATGGAATACAACACGATGTGCTATTTACGTTTATGATTTTAATGACGCAAAATCATAAACGTAAATGGCGCATCGTGTTGGGTCGGGATCCGATGGATGATCCACAGGCGGTTTCCCTTTCTACCTAAAAGAATTTACTAGGCATGCGGAACGTGAGCACAATATCCGAAGCATTGAATGTTAGACAGTTTTTCGCCCCAAATTCTTGTTTTCTTCACTTTACAATACATTAATGTACACATTTTAAATAATAATAATGATAATAATAATATTATAATGTTCCCTGCAATAGGTAGTAAATTGAACATTTAACAATAGTCTACACTAGTAGCGCATTAGTGTACATACAATAGTGTATTTAAAAGTCCACTGGCTTACCGTAGTTGGTCGATTTTTTCCGTCATCGCATTTTTTTGTTGCAATTCGGCAAACAATAAGTTAGGATTGTTGATATTATATCGATATATCGATATAGGTGATATTTTTATTTTTGATACGATTATATCGGTATGATACTTTTTCGCCGACTATATCAAGAGTCGATATTTTTTGCAAATATCGACCTAGTGTTCTTTACACTGCGCGCAACAGCTTGCGTTCGAACAAGTTAAAAAACGTGTATACAAAAATGGACAAGCCCTCCTTATCGTGCAAACTTTGCGGTAAAGTTGTGAAGACAATCTGTTAAATATTTTTCCAATATATCGATATATTGATATTCTCAAATTGATAATTTCGATATGGCGATATTTAAATTTACCAAATGCGGTCATATTGATTTGTGAAAACAAAACAAATTGATAAGATATACAAAAATGGTTTGCGAAAAGTGCGAAGCGAAGTTAACGAAAGTGTTGGCCCCAAATCCCTGGAAAACTAGCACCGCTCCAGCCGGTGGACGCAAGATAAATGAAAACAAAGCCCTATCCTCTGCCCGGGACCGATACAATCCCATGGGCACGACCCTGGCACCTTGCCGATAAAAAACAAACAATACGTTGGATTCCAGTCCGCTGACTGCTGGTCATTTCAGCATTTGCCGACAAAAGGTCCACCAGATGGGAGCCCACTACTGCCAGGCGTGCGCCTACAAAAAGGCCATATGCGCCATGTGCGGCAAGAAGATTCTAAACACAAAGAACTACAAGCAGAGCTCAACGTGATGCTGCAGTCCATGTGTTATGATCCGCCTTTTTGCCGCCCTGGCCTATCGTTCCCGGCTAGCTCTCGGTGAAGTCAGGGGTGTTTCCGACCCGATAGCCAGGGGACGGATTTAACAAAAAAAATACTATTTTGTGTGTAACGGACAGATCTTATTTGTACACGCATCTTCGTTGGCACTCGCTTCGGCGGGGTCAGTCGGTGTTGTATTTGACCATCGCGAGTCCCTCCCTTCCATGAGCGTTCAACCTGTTGAGCGCTCCCATTTAAAAACATTTGGTTCACTCTTCCGCCCTTCTCGTCCCCCCCAACTAAGGATCTCTACTCCATTTTCATTTTCCTTTCAAATCTTCAAATATAATTCATTATTTCTTTCATCTTATAAATCTACTTAACTCCTAAAACATTTTTACTTTAACTGACTTTCACCTTGCGGAACACTAACATAAAACGAGAAGGAACGTGTGAGTCGCTTCTAAAGACGCGACTCTACTTATATCCCGTACTCAGTCAGTATTTACATTTTTGAGCATATGATTTTCAGAATTTAGAATTAAAAAAAAAAATTGTACATATTACATTTTTTTGCTACATCTGTTATCTACATCTACATCTACAATGTATATTTTACATCTAACATGTAGATTATAGATGTACTATTCATATTCTACATCTTTTTCCGCTAGGGGTTGCTCGCGCACTGAACGCGGCAGAGTGTGCGAGCGAGAAGGAAAATGAGTTTCGTTGTCGTTTGTGGGAGGGGGGGCAGGGGAAGCAACTGAAAATTAATTTCGTCATTCTGGCTATAATTACGATCCGATCTAATTCAGATTCAGCAGTCTGGTAGATATGGGCATTCTCTACGATACTGCGTTTTTAGTTTTATCGTATCTTTAAAATTGTGCCTGCCACAGATTTTCGTCCTTTGTGGGGGCGGAAGGGGGCGGGGCGAAATTCTGAAATACACTTGTAGCAGTGTGATATCACATGAGTCTGGAAACCAAATTTGGTTGCCCTAGCTCTTATAGTTTCTGAGATCTAGGCGCTCATCGAGACAGACAGACAGACAGACAGACAGACAGACAGACAGACGGACAGACGGACAGACAGACATGGCTATATCGACTCGGCTATTGATGCTGATCAAGAATATATATACTTTATGGGGTCGGAAACGTTTCCTTCTCTGCGTTACACACATCCACTTTTACCACAAATCTAATATACCCCTTAACTCTTTTTTGAGTACGGGTATAAAAATACTAACATTCAAAAAAGATACACACGGATTCTATTTTTTTTTGCCGGCTGTAATATAATTTTAAATGCAAATTTAAATGGTTAACTTAAACTAAAAAGAGCTCTTGTTAGTAATTATTGCATGTGCACAAATTGTGAAAGGGGGTGGAGTTCGGGGGAAAAAAATAGACTCCGCTTACATTGATTAATAGGACGGGCTTTAACGCAAAAACTATCCTAAAATACTTTGTGTTGTTGTTTTTTGTTTTTTTTGTATTTTATTTCATTTTAATTCATGTGTTGTGGACTATTAAGTCAAAGAAAATATATGTAGTTAATGTGAATCGAGAAGTAGCTCCGGGAATAAAGATATATAGTGCGAATGCGGCTGTTGTGAATGAGTGGGTATTTGTGTGTGAATATGTGACGGGGCTAGTTGGGCGCAGGGTATTATTCAGATTTAAATATATTCATGATGGGGTTACTATGTGTGGCTATTTGCTATTTTAATACATGCGGGTTTTTGTGTGGTGTGTGCGATGTGTATGTTGTGTGTGTGATGTGTATAATGTGTGTGTGATGTGTATAATGTGTGTGTACGGGGTGTGCTGTGCCGGTGTGTGATGCTGGGGTGTGCAGGGATCCTCCCATGGATGTGGCCTCCGTTCGCGTTGGTTGCAGCTCCCTGCCGTGCTCCTCCAGAGATGCTCCGGCCGGGCCAGTCTTGGCGCTGACCCAGCTGTCGGCTCCTTGCCTGGAATCCGCTGTGCCGTTGTAGCCTCGTTGTCGTCCCTTGGTGTAGTGGCCTCTTCACTTATTTATTTTTTTATTTTAATTATTTTTTTCAATCTTTTTTCTTTTAGCGTTACTGGCGATTTCCTCTGGTCTATCTCTTCTCTTCCCGGAAACAACTGACCCTCGCCACATAACCTTTACGACCACGTTTTTCTTCCTTCTCTAGCCTTGCCACCTTGCTCCCTCCGTGCAACCCTGTTACAGCCTCCCAGGATCCACAACAGAGGCCGCTGTCTCCTCTCCTTCTCCAGCCCTGTCGGCTCCTTCAAAAAGCCGTCCATAACACCACACTAACTTTTCCAGGTCTTGCCGTCGAAAAGGTAGTGCAAAACCAAGGCGGCTTCCGGATTGATAAGCCCAACGTAGGCCATCGCCCACACCCTGAGATCGCTCATGCTCTACCGACCTATCTGACCGGGCTACTGCTTGAGATCTTTAGCATGGAACACTCCTATCCGTGCCCCTTGCAGTGTCTCCAGTTCATATAAGCTGTTTCCTAAGCTCCGGACCACTCTGCACTTTACATACTTCCGACTAAACTTGGAATTGATGTTGTTTTTGAAATTGCTTAATACGAAGTTCCGCTTATACACTTCCTGTCCTGGTAAGTACCGGATCTCTCTCGCCTTTCGATCATACTGCTCCTTCGATCTCTTGTAGGCCTCATGCGCGTTCCTGCGGACCTCATCTCGGATGATCTCCTGTTGGTCATGCCTAGCCACAATGATACCTGCGCGTCGTTCAGGGCTCCCAGTCTCTGTGCTAATTTGTAGTCCCGCCCGCTGGTGAACATGTGCTGCCCGAACAGCACGAAGTATGGTGACGTGCCTATGGCTGTGTGTATCGCACTACTGGCCGCACCCTGTATCTCCGGCAGCTTCTCGTCCCAGCGCGTGTGGTCTTCGCGGACATACGTGCGGATTGCTGCGAGGACAGTTTGATTCACACGTTCTGCCGCGTTCGCCTGTGGTGCGTAATTCTCAGATTTCATGTGAGCTATACTTCTTTTGGTCAAGAAATGTGCAAATTCGGCTGATACAAACTGCTTTCCGTTGTCCGTGTGTACCATTTCAGGAACGCCAAACTGTGCGAAGACCTCTTCTTGCAGGAATTGGATTACGGCCGCCGATGTGGCTTTGCGCAAGGCCTTCAGCCAAACAAATCGAGACATGTGATCAAGAACTATCAAGATGACTACATTCCCCCTTCGGGTTCTAGGATATGGACCCAGAAAGTCGAGGTATATTTTCTGCATTGGCCTTTCGGTTACGGTCTCGGCACCCATCATTGGACGACTAACTTGTGTCGAATGTTTCGTCTCTTTGCAGGTATCGCAATCCGCGACATATGCCTTCACCTGTACCGTCATACGGGGCCAATAGTACCATTGCCGCAGTCGCCCCAAT